CTAGCCAGGTTGGTTGACAGCCTGAAATATTCCTAATCAGGCCTAGACCTAGTGTGAGCTGAACGTTTAACATTTAGAGCTCTAGTCTCAACAAAAAGCTAACCAAGGATATCATCGTCACTTGTTCTCTTGAACGTAAAGCGTCGCATGACGTTTTAACAAAGCATTGGGTTGGGAATTGTGGTAAAATAAAAGAAAAGCGGATTTCTCCAACCAATATGGTGAAGAAGAAGAGGGTTAAATTCCCACCTATCAGTCATAATATTGCGATCGTGACGTGACAAGGAAACCATCAAAATCCGAACAATATCCTCAGCGAAATTACCGGTATGTAGCAGTTGGAAGTCAATGACAGCAACAAGCTGAATAAAAACAAGATTCATCTGAAGGTAAATATGATAGAGGATAGACTGAACATGAGGTTCCCAAAATAGGAGGCAGTGTCCCTACAGTACGCGTCATAAAAATGTTCGCAAAGCAACATGGTCATGGCGCAGAAACCACGGTGCTATCTTAGTTGGGGGGGGGGGAACCACGCGGCGGCGCGGCGCTCTGTTCGTCTGCTCCTCCAAGGCTTAGTCCCAGGGGCAGTTACTATTTCGCCACCACGTGGCAGTTTCGAAATACGCGCCATCGGGGACTAAGCCTTGGAGGAGCAGACGAACAGGGCGCCGCGCGCCGCGTGGTCCCCTCCCCACCAACTAAGATAGCACCGAAACCGCAACTGAAACTAAGATCTTTGAAACCCTACAGTTACATATTTACATTTACATAGCTTTGTTAAACCTCATAGTTGAAAGATTGTTAGACATGATTGCCTCCAGTACGATTTTCAGCTCGTTGACGCTGGGAGAGCGCATCGACGGCAGCTTCCAGAGTTTCTTGGGAAATTTGGGCTCAAGCTTTGTCTCGAGCTTTCGGAGTTTCAGTTATGTTTGAAGGCCATCTTCGTTTTCTCAGGAGAAAGATGAGATGAGTTGGTATCAGGCAGATTTGTCTATCAATGAGACCCAGGAATAAAAAGGCAACGGTCTAGACCGGTAAAGTCCAAGCAGAACTAGAGAAAATTTCCCAATAATTTCTCAGTGGGAGCATCTTTCAATTATAGTGCGGCGAAAAATTCAATAACGTCACTAGAAACGCTCGAACATTATTCTTGCCCATGCAACGGGAGAAATTTCTTTGTATAAAAGAATAAACCCAAACATTCTGTAACTGCAAAAATTTCCAAAATGACCGCAGTCAGTTTTGATCGAGGCATCAATACCATCGAATCGATGGTGCCGTGAAAATTGCTGTCGTCCACAAACTTAAAAGTTTTTCAATTCCTCTGTCGAATTCTCCCAGTTTTTTTTACGTCGTTTACTTTTCAATTTCTAATTTGCTTCTCCGTGAAATCCCTGTTACGTTTCATATGTCTTTTTTTGCTACCCGTAGATCTTTCACTGGAAGTAACGTCTTTTCTGCTGGAAATGACAGTTGTTTGCGTAATTACACAGATTTCAGTCCAAAAAGCAGAAATGGAAATATTGTAGTGGGAAATGTTTTGTCCTTCTATCAGTTTCACACCCGATAAGCTCAAAAATATTCCGGGCTTCGGCTTCCTCTCAACAGTGCACTTTTCGCCTGTGGAATTGTGGTGTGCAGCTGTTGAAGCGCACTTGAATCAACTAAGAACTGTACATACAGTAGCGGTCATAAGTGTTCACCGAAACGGTTTTTCATGCTTTCTTTTTTTGCCAAAAAAAATCGTGGTGGCCTCGAAAAAATTTTCTTTTGAAGATCCTGATTCTTTGAGTCTTGAGGATATAAAAACACTAAGAAACAGGGTGAATAACGGTCGAGGAAATCCTCGACCATAGCTCTCTACCATGCGAGAGTAGTGCCGAGAGTGAACATCCGCGCGGAGAGCACAGACGGCAC